CTGTGGAAATGGATTGTGAGTTCTCAAAAACTGATTTGTGTCAGTGCTTTTTCTTATTCTGAATTCTAAACTTTAATGACTTTTTATATAATAGAAATAAAATTTTATAAAATTATGTCATTCACAGGGGCCGGCAGGTGGTGTGGTATTTGGGGTGCTGGACTCCCACATGGCCAAGCACAGTTCAAGTCCTGGACGTGGCAGTTTGTTTTCTTACTTTCCCTTTTGCTCACTTTCTCTGGTCAAATTAAAAATAATAATAATAACAAATGGCATTAAGTAAGTAAATAATTTTAAAAATAGGTCATTCTTCCTAAACTGTTATGTAAACATAATGGATATTGTTTCTAGTATATAGCAGAAATGACATGTAATGAAATGGAAAATAAAAGTATGTTCGATCAAAGTTAAAAGATAGTTAAGCTTGGAAAGGTGTAACACCTGGGAAGAAACTTTAAGGATTAGAAGTTGCAAATTAAAATAATCTGAAAAGTAAACCATTAAACAAAATGTAAAATGAACATTTGTTCTTTGAAATTTATTTGAAGTAAATTTAGAACCATTAAAAGAAAATTTAGTTTGACTTATATTGCAGAATTTATTAGTAGAGCTGATAAATAGTCTATGTAGAATATGACTTATGTTCATGGAGTCATAAATAGTTAATAACACAAAATTGGGTTCTATTTAACTTTTCAAATAGCTACAGACTGATTGTTCTGGCAGATTTCAGATTTGAGATCCTCCTGCCTCAACCCTCAAAGTGCCCGGAATTAGAGGGGACCAGCAGTTAGTGTAATGGCTATGTCTCTGGACTCCCATGTAGTCAACTGCAGTTTGAGTCCCAGACCAGTGGCTTAAACTCACCCGGGCGCATGTGTGCCTAAGATCCCCAGAGGAGAATGGAGGAGAAGGGATTGCAGTGTGGCCATCCCCCCAGGGGGTGATTTCTTGCTTTCAGTCTCTCTGGCCAGTGCACGTGCCCTATAGCAAGAACCTCCCCCCCCCCCAAAAAAAAAGGGGCTGGAATTGCAGACCACCATGTCCAGTAAGCTTAGTAGTCTAAAAGGAAGACAGAATATAGATTAAAATAACAAATAGGACAAAGAAATAATTGTGTCCTGTAAAAGGGTAGTATATTACATTTTATGAACATTTCTTAGGTTTTTAAAATAGTGCGTCAGCTTTCAAATGGACATTTTACCACATTTAATTAACTCCAATTTAAATATTTCTTTTTCTTTGAATTCAACTATTCAGAAGTTGTCTAGAGCAGTGTTTCTCAGGATTTAATGTACATATGCATTACATATAGAGCCTGATAAAATGTGAATGCTGATTCACTAGATATGGGGGGGTTCCTGAGATCTGTATTTGTAGTAAGTTCCTAAGCAATTTTGATGCTGCCTTTTTGTGTGAATACAAGGGAAGCAATCTAGGACTCTGATTTTTTTCTCAATTATTTTATTCAACTGTATTATTATTTGTTTTAATTTGACCAGAGAAAGACAGAGACAGAAAGTGAGAAAGCAAGCTGCCAAGTCTGAGACTCGAACCCTAGTCAGCCATGTGGAAGTCCAATGTCTTTAATCACACCACATCACCTGCCAGCCCCTCTGAGTTTTTGTTTTGTTTTGTTTTTTGATAATAAATTTCTATCTAAGCAATTCAGATGTTCTAGTTGCTCAGGTCAGAATACTTTGGAACTATCCTGGACTCTCTCTAACAAATATCCCACATTCAGTCTACTAGAAAATACTGTTGGTTTTTGAAATTTGAGCACATTTTCTTTACTTAGTTCAAGACAATTGTCGTCACTCCCCTATGGATGGTTATTGCAGGTCCTACTGCCTCTGCTTTTCCTGTTGTTTCTTTCTCTGCTCAAAATCTCCCTGCCTGGCCGGCAGGTGGCATGGTAATTAAAGACACTGAACTCCTGCATGGCTGACCACAGTTCAAGTCCCAGACTTGGCGGCTTGCTTTCTCATTTTCTCTCTTTTTCTCTCACTCTGTCTCTCTCTGGTCAAACTGAAAAATAATAAATACAATTAAATAATTTTTTAAAAGATTTATTTATTTATTTATTCATTTATTTATTATATTTTGAATTTGATCAGAGAGAGAAAGGGAAAGTGAGAAAGCAAGCCACCAGATCTGGGACTCGAACTGCATCAGCCATGTGGGAGTCCTGCTCCTTAACCTCCATGCCCCCTGCCAGTCCCAATAAATAATTCCTTAAAAAAAAAAAAAAAGTCAGTTTATTTATCTTAGAAGGTGCAACTTGATCTTGTCTTGTTACTTCTCTGTCCTCATCTACTGCTTTTTCTTTCTCTCTGCTCTGCACTTACCTTTTTATTCTTTGAGAATACCAGATATTCTCCTCTGCTTTATGACTTTCATATTTGCTTTCTTTCTGCCTAGAATTTTAAGCCTGGAAGCACCGGATGTCCATGTAATTTCTCTTGCTTCTTTTCAGATACTAGTTCAATTGTTACTTTTATCACAGAGGTTTTCCTTAACCACTCTGTATGAAATAATAGTTTCCTCATTTTCTCAATTCTTATTGGCCATATATTTTTTTAACATTTATTAATTTATTCTTCTATGAGAGAGAGGCACTCCTAACAGGGTCTTCATGACATGATCCACCCCCTATCGTTACGCCGTCTGGATCATGATCACATACACATGTGTCTAGAGTGCACAGGGAGGCCCTGGGCCATGAATTGTCCCCATGTACGTCCAGCATTGCAGAACATTGTGTTACCACTGTGCCACACTCTGGCCCCAGCCACAGTTTTTAATTTTCTGCATAGTACTTCTCAGTGTCTAACAAGCAAGGATATTTTCTTTAGTTTGTCTCTCCCTTCTAGAATATAAAGGCAGGGATTTCTGTATGTCTTCCTCAATGCTAGACTTACGTAATACCCTAATAGTATATGTATAGCACTCAATAAGCCTTTGATTTTAAAAAGAAAATCCCACAGGGCCAGCCTCTATAGCACAGTGGTTAAGGGAGGTGGATCCCATATGACTAACCATGATTCTAATCCCTGCCTAGTGGTTTAAAAAACACATGAGGCATGTGGGTGTGCTTGACCCAAATCCTAGTAAGATAGGGAAATAAAGGAAAAAGGATTGTGACATGACTATGCTCCATCAGGGGTTATTCTCCTTCCCTCCCTCCCTCCCTTCCTCTCTCTCTCTCTCTTTCCTTTCCTCTCTGGTAACCATGCATCCTCTCTGGCAATAAAAAAAAAAAAATCCCATAAAAGGTTATTGGACCTTTGTTTAAATACCTTCATTGGTAGGTTAGGTTATTCTACCTCCTTAAACCGCTAACAACATACTCCTTAAGCTGTCTGTCCTTCCAGGTTAAACACACTCACTATATATATATATATATATACACACACACACACACACACACACACACATATATTTGCTTATGTTATGTTTTCTAGGACTGTCACCATCTTAGTCACTTCTCTGGACATTTATCATTATGTTGTTTGTCCATAAAGAGTAGCCCCAGAACTAAAGCATATGTTACACATATTGGCTAAGAGTAAGACATTTTCTGGGACCAGCAGTTAGCATAATGGCTATGTCACTGGACTGCCATGTAGTCGACCGCAGTTCGAGTCCTGGATCATGTGCATGTGCATGTGCATGCTTGCCCAAGATTCCAAGAGGAGAATGGAGGAGAAGGGATTGCAGCATGGCCATCCCCCTGGAGGGTGATTTCTCACTTTCTGTCTCTCTGTTTCTCTCTGTCTTGCTGGCGAGCGCACGTGCACGTTCACTATAGCAAAAACCTCTCAAAAAAATTTACCTGATAAATTATTTTCCTTTACTACCAAATGAACTTCCTTTTTCATATTTCTCATTTTTGCCTCTTACAATCACCATTTTTCTAGTCTGTTAGGTTAGAATAATCTTTTGTTTCTTTCACTGTATTTGTTGACCAGAACCCTGAAATTTTAGTTTGCTGTAGGGCACATGCCTATGTGGAGAGAGACAGAGAGGGAGGGTGGGAGCAAGCAAGCAAGTGAACAAGAGAGAGAAAAAGTGAGAGAGCACCACCTGGGGGGTGGCCATGCCACAATCCTCCATTCTCTTGGGATTTGGGGTATGCAGGCACATGTGACTGGTGTGTTTTTCAAGCTGCTGGAATGGAGACTAGAGCCACACAGGTGACCATGTGGGATCCAGCCGCCCTAACCACCATGCCACCAACTGGCTCAGATCTCTATAATTCTTTAACACTTTACTACTTTTCTGTTTCATACCCAGTTACCCTAGCTATGCAAAATCTCTTTGCTTCTAATTTCTCCCCATTGTAATCCATTCTGTACTTCACTAGTCTGTCAGTGCTTTTTCAAAATTCGCTTACATTGCTTTTACCGTGTCATCTTTTTTTCAGAGGAATCTGTAAGATTGAATTTAAGCTTCTCAGTCTTAGCGATCCATCCATATAATTTAGTACTACTTGGTTTATATTGCTTTGTTTGTTCCTTTCGTTTATTACCACCCACTGTGACCTTTCAGATGAAGTTCTTTGTTTACATGCCCACCTTGTATCAGTACACACATACTTACACAGTCTCTTTTGCTCACTCTTGTTCTTGTCAGATTGGCTTGGCTAAATGCTATTTTATACTTCTTACTGTGTTGCCACCTGAATCTCTCTCATAATTTATCATCTTCCCTGAAAACTACTTTCCAAATTGATCTCTTTTTCCCTAAGCTCCAATTATATTTATGTCTGTGCCACAAAATTTACCATTTAATCTTTGTTGCCTAATAGTTATATAAGACTTTTCCTTTCAGTAAGACTATTTCATGACGACGGTAAAGAATAAAGGAGTACCAGATTATCCACAGGTTTATTGGCATAGTTTATATTGCGTTCTTTTATATGTAAACTAATTTCTTAGACTTTCTTGATATTATCAGAAGGCAAACCTAGACATTCTCTATTTTAATTCTTCTTATAGGAAATCGTATTCCAAGGAGAAATGAAGAAGAAAACTGTATACACCATACATGTAGGAGATCAGGATTATGAAGATATGGAAGGTAACCTTATATTTTTATGTAGATTGCATATTGAAAGCAAAACTTTCTGGCCTTTTTTCTGTTCTTTTTTCTTTTTTTTTTTTAAATTTATTCCAAATACACAGGGCATTTTGTTTTTACTTACTTTGGTGGTGGGTCTTAAATTCTGAAATAAGTTGCTTAATTAAATAATACACACTTTTTTTTTTCTCCTCTCTTGTCTTAGTTTTGATCAATCAAGGTTTTTGGTTTTTGAACTATTGAGTCGTCAGGAAAATAATGATGACATGGCTTTCCCAAGAAAATATTTTCTTTTTCTCCTTTTTAAATTTTTGTTTGTGTTGGTTTGGAGTTACTTTTTATTGTTGTCTTTTTTTTTTTTTTTTTTTTTAATAAAATAGCATTGAGGGGCCAGCAGGTGGCATAATGGTTAAGGCTCTGTACACCCACATAGTGACCATGGTTCAAGTCCTGAACCTGGTGGTCTGAAACTCATGTCACGTTCTTGTACGTATGTGCCCTAAATCCTGAGAAGAGAATGGAGGAGAAGGGATTATGGCCTGGCTATCTCCCCTGGGGGTAATTTCTCACTTTCTCTCTCTGGCAAGGGCCCTGTAGTATAACTCTTTCTTTTTTTAAATAAAAGCACTGATATTTTATTCGGCTTCTCAAGGTTCTTTTCACTGTCAACAGAACCATACAACATTTTTAGCTTTCATCATTCTACTCTCAATTTATAAGTTATAGTTACCCATTATGTTGTTTCTTTTTTTCAAATACCACAAATTAGGTGGTATTTTATATAGACGGTGTTTGTTTCAATTTCTTTATTCTCCATTTCTTTTCCTTTTGCTGAAAAAACCGTAAGTTTCTTTAGTGCAGGAAATTCTGTTTTGTTTTGTTTTTTTTTTAATCTATTTTATCCTCTTCAAAGAACTATTTGAAGTAGTTTTGCTAGGCATATAATTCTAGATTGATAGCTTTTTTCTCGCCCTTAACACTTTCAAGTTACTACTTAACCATTTTCTTTCTTGGTATCTAGTAATCTTCCCTGGGTCTAATTGTCATTCCCTTAGAGGTGATCTCTTTCCTTATTTTTAGCTTTTAACATCTTGTTTTCATCTTTGAGGTTGTAAGGTTTTATTTCATTGTTTCTAGGCATGGGTTATTTACATTTCTCCTGTTTAGCACACATTGTGTTTCTATATCTGTGGAAAGAGTATTTGGGAAGAGTATTTTGAATTTTGTTTTATTTTTTAATGATTTCTCTCCATTATCTCTTTATTGCTTCTCCTTTGTTCTTTTCTGGATTTCAAATACTATGTTAGATCTTGCTGCGTCCTCATTTTTTACTTTTCTTTCTCAGACTTTATCTCCTTTTCTGTCTCCTAGAGTCTAGGTAATTTCCTTAAATTTACTTTTTTAGTTCGTAAATATTTTCTTCCGAGTTTAATCTGCTACTTAGCCATTCTTCCTAGTATCTGGCAATCTAAATGTTTCAAGTCAATAGATTTCTAAATTTGCATCTACTGATTCTCAATCAAGACACACCTTATTATTTGATGTGATAATGTATGATAAGATTAATCTATGAAATTCTGAGGGCCTAATTTAAGGATTCTTTCTTTTTTAAATCTGTGTTTTAATTTTATCCAGCTTTATTGAGATACAACTTTGATGAATTTTAGTTCTTTCTTTCTTTCATTTCTTAAAAAAATTTGCAAGAGGGTGTGTGTGCCTGTGGGAGAGAGACAAAGGGAAAGTGAGGAAGCATTTCCTATGGGTTAATGGTTACACCATAATCCCTTCTCCATTTCTCTCTCCTTTTGTGATTTTGACACATACCCACATGTGCTTGGCATGTTTTTCAGCCCGTTGGGTCTGGGATTCCAATCACGCAGTCAGCCTGGTGAGATACAGCTACTTTAACGACCACACCACTCACTGTCTGACCCAGGGGTTCTTTCTTCTAGAGGATTTATATTTCTTTCTGGGTCCATGCTGGGATTACTTTAACCCGTTTGAGGGCTTTGGCTTAATATTGGAGTCTTTCAGGATCTATTCCCCTACCTGGGTTGGTCCTAAGATTTAGTTTTCAGATCTGAATGCTAGTATGGCATTTAACTCAGAACAGTCCCAGCTTTTCCATTTGCTTGCAGTATACTGTTTATATTTCTGCTGATCATTCTTTTGTTTTCCTTCTGCTTTTATATTGTGTTTCTTTTGTTGGCCTATGTGCCAGCAGTACATACCAGTTACACTGCTGGTCAAAGCTTAAATTATACAAATCCTAAGAAGAAGAATTTGGCAGTGTCCATTCATATTAAAAGTATACACACTTTTCTCATAATTCCAGTTTTAGGAATGTATCCTGTAGATATACTTTCAAATATGTGAAATAACAAAATTTTTTATTGCAGCATTGGTAGTCACAAAGGTTGAAAACAAGCTAGTATTCCTTATTAGGTTAAAAAAAGACAAACTAGGGCCAGCAGGTGGTGTGGTGGTGAAGGACACTGGACTCTCACATGGCCAGCCATGGTTTGAGTCCCAAACCTGGTGGCTTGCTTTCTCACTTTCTCTCTCTCTCTCTCTCTGTCCCTCTCTGGTCAAGTTAAAAAAAAATAGACAAATAAAGTTAAATAAAATAATTCTTTTTTTTTTTTTTTCCTAAAGCAAACTAGTCTGTACAGTGTTCTAATAGTTATGTGTAGAAGGGAATGTGGAAGAAAATGCATAAATGTATTAGGATTTGCTTTTCTGTCAGAAAATTTTTGGAAGAGCAGAGAAGTAACTTAACGGTTGTTACTTATCTGGGTTGGGTGGTGGAATTAGATAGATAGGGGTAAATTTGAGTGGGAGATTTGTCATTGTAGTTTTTTTTTCCTTAAATTTTTGAACTGTGTGAACCTTATTTTTAAATTAAATTAATAATATGTTTATTTTACTCCCACATTAAAAAATAAAAGAAAGTAATGTTGGGCATTGGGCTCAAGGAAGGTGTTTATTATAATTTAGATAAATTAAAGGTCTATTGCTTTGTAGTAGGAGGGCCCTTAAGAGAATTTAGGTTGCTATACTGCCAAAAACATAAGTCATTTGTTCTGGAGAACTTGAAAGTACATGTGGCTATTTTACTTTACAGGTGAAGAAAACAGAGATAATACTGCTGCTACTGGTCTCTTGTACAGTGAAGATGACAGATGTCCAATATGTCTTAATTGCCTATTAGAGAAGGAAGTTGGTTTTCCAGATAGCTGCAATCATGTCTTCTGTGTGACTTGTATTCTTAAATGGGCAGAGGTAAGTCAGAATAAGTATTAATCGCAGTTGATACATTATTATATTTTAATTCTCTTGCTTGATTTCATTCCACCTAGCCTAAACAGGTGATATTTAATTTCATAAACTATTCCACAGTACTGTACTTTCTCTTTAGTTTGAACAAATTTCCCTGTATTCAAGTACTGTAAATATTTTTCCTTCTAATTGCTTTTATTCAGATTTTTGTTCTTTTATCATTAACATTTTTAAATATATACCTTTTTCCTTTTTTCAAAGGAATTATTTAATTTATTTATTCATTTATTTTAATTTGACGAGATAAAGTAAGAAAGCAAGTCACCAGGTCTGGGACTCGAATCATGGTTAGCCATGCGGAAATGTCCAGCTCCTTAACCACCATGCCACCTCTTGGTCCCAAATGTATACCTTTTTCTAAAACCTTAATAACTTATAGGAAGAGCACATCAAACTTTTTCTGGTAGAAATGCAATAATTCATATTTAGTGTACCTGATCCCCTGAGGATAGTATCTGTTTACTACTAGTAACACTTATCTGCTTTGTGTTTTATGTTTTTCAGAGAACTTCCACATATGTTATTTGATTTCTTCTTTATATGAACCTTATCAAATATCCAGAGCAGATAAAATAGTGTCCTTCCATTTCACAAATGAGGAATCTTGGATTTTATGTTCTATAATTTGGCCAAAATCTCATTTTAAGGGCAAAAATGAATTTAAGACTTCTGAATTTCTTTTTTTCTTTTTTTTTAATTACTGCATTTCTAATTCCTTTTTAAAATTACTATGAACTAATTTCAGAATTTGGTTTACAGAATTATTGAGGTTCTTAAATCTCATCATTATAAATTATTGAGTAAAAATTAGTTTTTCTTCATATTAATCATGCCACATTTTCCTTTATAAAAAATTTTTATTTAACTTTATTTATTTATTTATCTATTTATTTATTTAAATTTGACCAGAGAGGGACAGAGTGAGAGAGAGGGGGAAAGTGAGAAAGCAAGCCATCGGGTCCAGGACTCAAACTGCGGTTAGCTATGTGGGAGTCCAGTGCGCCTAACCATTATACCATCTGCTGGTCCCAATCATGCTATATTTTCTGAATTAGCATTATTTTGGTTTGTAAAACTTGTGAAAGTATTATAAATCAAAAATATTTTTAAGATCAACTGCATTTCAATTGTTGGATGTCCTTAAGTATGTTATGTATATTACATAATTAGAGCTTTCAAAGTTATTGGTTTTACTGTATTTTCATTACTGGTGTGGAAAGGAAATCTATGACTGAGTTCTGGGAGGTGGGAAAAAGGATTTGTTGAACGAACCAAATTAGTCCATAGTTTAAAATCTCATTAATGTTTACTTCCAGTAGAAAAGTAGAAATCAAAGTGATATCAACAGTGCTACACAGTAGTAAACAGTACAAGGTATTCAGGGAACCAGCAGTTAGCATAATGACTATGTCGCTGGATTCCCATGTAGTCGACCGCGGTTCGAGTCCTGGACCCGGTAGCTTAAACTCACACCGGGCGCGTGTGCATGAGTGCCCAAGACCCCGAGAGGAGGATGGAGGAGAAGGGATTGTGCTGTGTCCATCCCCCCTGGGGGGTGATTTCTCATTTTTCTGTCTCTCTGTCTGTCTGTCTTTTTGGCTAGCACACATGTCCTATAGCCTCTCCCAACCATCCCCCCATCCCCCCCAAAAAAGAAAAAAAAAGTATTCAGTACTTTTGTTTTGTTTTGTTTTTGAGATTTATACTCAAGGTTTAATGAAATATAATTCAAAATGGGTATCAAATTCAAAAAGAGGATTCATTTATTTACTTTCACCTTGATATTTTTGGGCTTGAAGAGATTTCTGCTTTGTAAGAAACCAGTATCTAAAAATCTTAGAAAGTATATTGTAGTCTAGTATATTATTTTAGGCACACTTAATGAGATATTTCATGCTTCTATATCCATAAAGTTAGTTTCAGTCCCATCAAGCTCTAAAATTTTAGTTCCTTGGTTATTTAAATTAAAGCTATGTAAGGAACTTTTGTAGTCTCTAGGTACATCCTAGAATCTAGTTTACTTAGAGCAAAAAGATTTCAGGATAATGAAACCTGTGGTGGTCCTGTGACCCATAGCCTAATTGCCTACCCTTAGGGATATTAGGACAACTTAAAATTAAGCATGTTCACCATGATTGTTTAGTTTCAAAGAATTGTAGATGATAGCCTTACTGTTTTTTTTTTTTTTTTTTGGGAGATTTTCACTATAGGGTGCGTGCGCTTGCCAGACAGAGAGAGACATTAGAGACAGAAAGCGAGAAATCACCCCCCAGGGGGGATCACCTATATCAATTTTCAAGGGAATAATTAATGTTATTTGTGTTCTAATTGAAGTGATCCAGGGACTAACAGCAGAAACAATAGCCAGTGCCTATAGACATCTCAGTTGGTTCAGCTTCACAATTCTTAAAAAATTAATATAAAGCAGATTTTTTTATTTGATAAGTATCAAAATTATTCCACCCTAAACAGCTATAGATAAGAGCAGAGGGTTCAGTGGAAGTTTTAAAGGAGACCAAGATCCTGAAGAATTTTTGGGAAGAATTGTAGTAAGAGATGACACTTGCCTTTACTAGTATGATTCTGAAGACAAAGCATAATCAAAGCAGTGGCTACCAAGAGTTGAAAGTAGTCTATCAAATACTCATTTGATAAGGGATGTACTAAATGGCTGGCATCATCACTTACGGAAGCGTCTTGAACTTCATGGAGCTTATGTAGAGAAATAGTTTATATTTTTTATTTTAGTCTTTTTTTTTTTTTTAAGTTTATTCATTTCTTTCTTCCATGAGCAAGAGAGACAGACGTAGAGAACTAGTACCCTCAGCAGGGTCTTGATGCCACAATCCACCCATGACTTCAACTAGCCCTGGACCAGGGTCATGTATGTCCCCATTATACTCGACGAGATCGCCGGATGACAATCTGGAACCTTCTTCCCATGAAGGTCAAACTTGTTGATGTCTTACTACTGTGCCACTATCTGGTCCCCTTTTTATTTTTATATTTTAATTCTATTTTTTCATGAACTATTTGAAGTTACCTTTTAAATTAGTTCTTCAAAATTCATGGGGAAATGTGTATTATGAAAAAACTGCATGGATTTCAAAAATTTTTTTGCATGAAAATAAACTCATATTGTAATTTCAGTTTTCTACAAATGTTTTGAAGTTCTTTCAAATACAAAGCCATTATACTAAAGTTTATGAGCCATTTAGTTAGAAACTTATTTACAATCTACTTATTGATAATTTTTAACTTATATAAATTTAACCTTGATTATCTGAGTTTGTTCATTTAAAGTAGATAATTAGAAACTTGAATACTGGTTACATTTGAGGCAAGACTGGTTGCAGTTGAGGCACTAAGAGTTCATAATTACAGACAAGATACCCTCTCCAGCCACACACATGCACTTAAACATACTGATTAAGAAAATAGCATTTATAGGACCAGCAGTTGGTGTAATGGCTATGTCGCTGGACTCCCATGTAGTCAACCGCACTTTGAATCCCAGAGCTAGTGGCTTAAACTCACGCCAGGCATGTGTGCATGCATGCCCAAGATCCCAAGAGGAGAATGGAGGAGAAGGGATTGTGGCATGGCCATCCCCCCAGGGGTGATTTCTCACTTTCTATCTCTATGTCTCTCCTTGTCTTTCTGGCGAGCGCACGTGCCCTATAGTGAAAATCTCTCCAAAAAAAGAAAAAAAAGAAAATAGGATTTATGATTTGGCACAGTTGCTAAGAAGTAGTTAAAAATTTGACCCTTAGAGAGTTAATGTTTTAGGATTAGAAATATTGCATGTTTAAAACATTTAAGCATTTTTGCAATATTTAAAGACACATAAAATATATGTGATTAGGATGTTTTTGTTATCTATTGGGGTTCTTTTCCCTTTTCTTTCAAGTATTATAAAAATTTTTTTTTATCTTTAAAGTTGTTTTTTTTTTTTTTGAGAGGTTTTCGCTATAGGGCGCGTGTACTCTCCAGACAACGCCTTCTGTTCCCTGCAGCTGTTTGACCACATCGTCTCCTGCATCTCTGACTTCCTGGACTACATGGGGATCAAAGGCCCCAGGATGCCTCTGGGCTTCACATTCTCATTCCCCTGCAAGCAGACGAATCTGGATGTGGTGAGTCTTCTTCCTAGGGTGGCAGCCATCGGGCCACACTGATCCTGTGGCGTGGGAGGGCTGATTCAGTCCTTCTCCTGCCTCAGTGTCATCTCTGGGACTGGCTCACATGTCACAGTGGGTTGACCTAGGCTTCATTTATTTCACGCCTGCGAGTATATCTAAGATGCTTATCTGCTTATTTTTTTAAGTTTATTCATTTCTTTCTTCCATGAGCAAGAGAGACAGACGTAGAGAACTAGTACCCTCAGCAGGGTCTTGATGCCACAATCCACCCATGACTTCAACTAGCCCTGGACCAGGGTCATGTATGTCCCCATTATACTCGACGAGATCGCCGGATGACAATCTGGAACCTTCTTCCCATGAAGGTCAAACTTGTTGATGTCTTACTACTGTGCCACTATCTGGTCCCCTTTTTATTTTTATATTTTAATTCTATTTTTTCATGAACTATTTGAAGTTACCTTTTAAATTAGTTCTTCAAAATTCATGGGGAAATGTGTATTATGAAAAAACTGCATGGATTTCAAAAATTTTTTTGCATGAAAATAAACTCATATTGTAATTTCAGTTTTCTACAAATGTTTTGAAGTTCTTTCAAATACAAAGCCATTATACTAAAGTTTATGAGCCATTTAGTTAGAAACTTATTTACAATCTACTTATTGATAATTTTTAACTTATATAAATTTAACCTTGATTATCTGAGTTTGTTCATTTAAAGTAGATAATTAGAAACTTGAATACTGGTTACATTTGAGGCAAGACTGGTTGCAGTTGAGGCACTAAGAGTTCATAATTACA